AAAAAAGCCCAGTGAGCCAAGCCGTAAACCACAGGCAAAAATTTAACAAATTGAAACTTATTCCACGGAGAACATACATATGTCACTTTACCCAGGTACTCGGAGATTTCACAACAGTGAAGCAAGGAAGCAGAGAAGCTACACAGGGAGGCCTGAGTGCTGAAAGGCTTAGGCAATGGGGAGGCTTTCTATCACTTCCTTCCCAGAATGAAACCAAGTCTTATAGCACAGACAACCACGATTCTGCTGGTGCAGTTAGGTGATGGGCTGCTATCTGGGAGGTCAAGCCCGCCACCCTCCAGGAGAAAAGACTTTCTACTCCCCAAAAGCTACAGCCTAGACACTCACAGGGGCAGTTCGACACTGCCCATAGGGTCACTGTGAGTCAGTCCAGTGGCCGTGAATTCAGTTCACCCCTGGAAGCTGTTTCCTTAGCTTCCCTCCCACCCCTGGATAAGACAGCCCAGCAGAGCAATTTCTGCTATGCAGGCGCCTGCTGCCCCCTGCCGACAAAGTTGGGCCATTACAGAAAAGCCCAATCTCCCAGAGGTTCCACTTTGCCCCTACCCACCTGGCCCTTGTTGAAATCAGAGGGGCCATGGAAACCTAACCTGCAGTGCAGTACCCCATTGTCCCCTGCAGCCTCCTCCTCACTGTCCCACATGCAGCACCCTTTAGCGCACCCAGCATGTCTCCACACTCAGCCTGGGGCTGCCCGGCCACTCTCCATGTGCACCCACTCACCCCTCCACGTGGAACCTCCCTTCTTGCCCTACTCTGGTAACTTCCACTTGTCCTTCAGCTCTGGGATCAGATGATGAATCTGGAAAGGCCTTCCCAGACTGCCTCATCCTCACCTCTGACAAGGACGGTAAACATGACTGTTACATAAACTATTTTATTTAAATAAAACCAGCAGCAGCCTCTCCCCCCACACACCCATCCACGCATGCACACACGCACACCATGGTCCTTGTTCCCCTTCCCCTCCACTCAATGGTCACCTCAAACCTGGGGTTCTCATTATGACCTCTCTCTCATCCAGAGGGCGGGACACACTAAGGCAGGCGGTGCCCTCCATGAGGAACAGGGCAGGCCGACACAGAGGCTGTCCTTCACAGGGCTTGCAGACCACGCTCCTGGGTCGCCAGGACCTCCCCAAGCACCCTCATCCTGGCATGGCTTCTTCCTCTGAGAGCCTGAGAGCAGCACAAGGCATCTCCCTGCAAACTCCTCCCTGCATCCCAGGAGGTAGGAGGCTGGGCAGCAATGCTCAGACACTCCCCAAGGAAGCCTGGGGTAGGAGCTGATTGGTTTGGGGGAGAGCAATGAAGCACCAGATTCCCTACCCACCTCTCCTCCCTGCCCTGCCCGCAAGCTGGAGGGTGCTGACACTCATTTCAGCAGCCTTGACCCAGAAGACGCAAACCTGACTCCCCAGCAGGGAGGCCAGGACTGGGAAGGGTGGGGGCCTCCATTATCAGGACTTCACACCCTCTCCCCAACATGGATCTGAGAGATCCAATAGCACCTTTGCACTCTGCAGGGACCCAGCCTGGCTGGGGAAACACCAAGAGCAGAGAGCCAGCTTGGAGTTAGTGTTCCCTACAATAATGGGGTAGGGTCTCCTCCTCCCTGACAGTCACCCTGTGAGAGTGGCTTGGGGGCACATCTACTAGAGCCATGCCATTATGAGGGGCAAGCACTGAAAGGAAGGGACTGTGGCTTCAGAGGAGGAGCAGTCTGTCTGACAGGCTTACACTGGGCAGTCTGGGGCACGGGGCTTCCAAGAGGACAGTAGTGTCATCAGAATGAGACCGAGTGAGGGACGCTTCTCGGTCAACTCAGGCTGCGGGCCGGGAGAGCAAGACTGCAGCCCATTCCACCTGCTTCTCGGAGGGGCTTCCCTGTGCCCAGCAGGGGGAAAGTCACAGGGGTGGAGAGAAGGGACAGACAGAAAGAAGAGAGTGCAAGGTCACAGGCGGAGAGGGACCAGCAGCAGAGAGCGCCGGTGGAAAGTGAGACTTCTGGAGGTAAGGCAAGGTGAGAGGTGCCACCTGGAGAGGGGCTGTGAGGCAGCCAGGGCGAGCCAGCGCTCCACAGAGCCAGCCTCTCAAGGCGAAGCACTGGAGAAGGTGGCCTGGGAGGAGGGCGGGCCGAGGGGCCCTCCACCCCAGTAGGACTGTGCACTGAAGATGCCAACTATAGGCTGACGCTGCGTTGGTGGCGGCCCCCTCGGGCCCCGCTGTCACTCCCCCGGCGCCCGCCACTCCTGGGTCCCAGCTCCTGGTCATCCAGGCTGGCGTGGTCCGAGAGGCCCCGTAGGTGCTCCACCGAGTCACACTTCTGCAGGTCTGAGGCCACGGTGCGCAGGCTCAGCAGGCTCAGGGTGTCTGTGTCAGGGGCAGGGCCAGGCCCCAAGCTGCCCCCCTCCTCCAACACTCCACCCTCAGCCCCCTCAATTCCGCTGTCCCCATCTTCGGCCTCAGGTCCAGCCTCGGCACCCACGGGGGAGGATCGACGTGGCCCTGGGGGGTGAGGGGGCAGACCCCTGCGCCGGGCATGAATCTGCTCGCTGATCTGTTCCAGGTTCCGCAGGGCAACTGAGTATCGGGTCTTGGCCTGGGCCACCTGCTGCTCCAGCTCTGTCACCTTGGCCTTGTGTTCCTGACAAGGACAAGACATTGTTAGGTGACCCCTAGAGCTACCCCGGCCCCTTCAATTGAGCCTCTCCCAGTACCAGCTAGGATCCCTGGTCTACCCCTCAGCAGTTACTGTGAAGCACCCATGCTCCTCTCCCCCAGGCCCACCTCCATCAGGTACTAGGACACACAGATTCCATCAAAAGCTGTCATGTGCCTCTCCTAACCTCAACCTTTCCTCCCAGGGCCTCCTCCCCTTCCCCCCTACTGCTGCTCCTCCTTTCCCTATAAATAGGGTGTTGGGTAAAAATTAACCTTACCTAAAGCATTTGCCCTTTATGTTCAGTTTCTAGGAGGTAGCCTTCAAACACTAGGAATTCCCCAAGTATGCTAATGAGATAATTTAGGGTGACAACCTGATTAGGCGTGGCGGCAGCAGGACCCCCATTGAGCAGAGGGGGTGGGCGGTGGAGACAGTTCAAGCTAGCTGTCAATGGATCAATCCGCCATGCCTCTATAATGAAAACTGGGCACTGCATATCACATGCATGTCCCTGATGAACAACACAGGACGACGGAAGGGTGAGGCCCTGACTCCACAGCGAGAAGCCTCCCAGAGGCCCACGTGCCTCTTCTCTGGGCTGGTCCTCATGTATATATCCTTTTACGAGAATCAAACCATGACGGCAGGGGTAGTGCAGCCCTGAGTTCTGTGAATCGTTCTAGCAAAGCTCAGACCTGAGGCAGGGCTCCAGCTGGACAGGAGCAAGGGGGACCTAGAGACCCCCAAGCTTGTGGCTGGCATCCGAAGTCCTGGGTGGACTTGGCGGTCTCAAGTGCCCTGACCCCGTAGGCTCCACCCCGGCTCTGGTCCGCGATCTGTCGATGTGTGTAGTCAGTGCTCTTTCCGCTCTCCGCAGACCCGGACTCTGGCGCCACCTGAGCCGAAGTGCTACCACTAGTCCTTATCACAGGCCTTGTGCACCCCACCCCACCCAGCCCACCAGGACAATGGCCCCATCAAACAGGCAGACCCGTGGCTCCCTTCTGCCCTGCCTAGCCCCTTCTTGCCCTCTGGTTGTCCAGTCTTCCACTCTGCCCCACTCAGCTACCTCCAGGATCTGACTGAACTGGGCCTTGAGCTCAAAGTAGGGGCGACTCTTGCCGATGGCCCGCCGGAGGGTCTTCTGCAGGGCCTGGACCCGAGCCTCAGCCTGTTGACACAGCCGCGTCACCCGCTGGTGCTCCCGCTCGCCACGCAGCCGCTCCTCCTCCGCCTCGTTCACCTGCATCCAGAAGGAAAGGGGTGGGATGGGAGCACACATCAATGAGTTCAGCCAAGTTCTGTTCCCCTGCTTTTGACCAACCTGCCCATCTAAAGACTCCACAAGGGGGAACCAGACCAGCAACACCCTCTGTGAATCGCCTGCTGCGGCAGTGCCCAGAGAGCCCAATGCGCTCTTGGCGTGATCTCATGATGTCTGAGTGTGTCCAGGGCAACAGTGAGCCCAAGCACATCGTAGGATGTTTACTTCGTACTAGGATACCTGTGGCCCACTTTTCTGGCCTTCATTGGCTGCATCTCAGTCACACACCTCTTCCCTGTTGTGCTCACACGCAGGGTCTGAGTACCTTCTTACCTGCAGGACTGCACATCCAGCTTTGCTATTTGTAAGAGAGGGATCTGTATGAATGTCCTTTGCCTCCTGGTTCTTTCCTCTATTTCCTTTTACTTCCCTCTTGAACCACCATGTTTTGCCTTCATTCGGGTTCAGTAATTCCTCGCTGCTACATTGCCCTTGATTGAGTCCCACTAGGCATCCTATGTACTTCTCTTATCAAGGGTTCAGGAAGGAAGGGGAAGAAATGGGGAGCTGATATCGGGCTCAAGTGGGAAGAGAATGCTATGAAAATGATGATGGTGGCACACGTGCAAATGTGCTCGACACACTGAATGTATGGATTGTGATGAGATGTAAGAGCCCCCAATAAAAGTATTTATTGCATTTTTTTTAAGTATTTAATTTAAAAAGTTTTTTAAAAGAGGGATTTGGGCCTTTCCAACCACCCATAAGCACTTTGGGAACGCTCCGCTGTGTGGAAGCGAGTCTACAGGGCAGCCCTCAGTGCCAGGGGTTGGAGACTAAAGGGCATGGAAAGGAGTCCCTCTATATGGAATGACAGCTCTCAGTAAGGGATTCTCCGGGTTTCCACATTTCAAGTGTGCACAGGGCTGAGCCACACCTGAGCAGGGAGCAGGCCAGGGCTCCCACTTCCTCATCACATAGAACCAGGACAGCAATGCCTACTCGTGCTCCATCAGGAGCAAACAGGCACCCTGAGCGCCCACCCTGACCTACAAAAAATAATTTCAAAAACTCCCACAGGAGCTCCATAGAGAAACAATACTGACAACAGATGAAAACCCAGGTCTCCTGAGCTAACATCACATTCAATGGAAAAAGACTGAGTCTTCTCATTAAGATCAAGAACAAGACAATGATGCCCACTCTCACTACTGCCATGTGGATAGACTAGAAGATAAATAAATAAAAGGTAAAGAGAAAGTAAGAGATCTTTTTGCAGATGACAAGATCCTATATATTGGAAACCCGCAGTGTCTAAGCTGTTAGAACTAGTAAATGAATTCAGCAAAATGTCAGGGTACAAAGTCAACACGAAAATCGGGGAGACTTCTCTGTATCAGCCATGAGCAAGTCAAGAAATTACTTAAGGAAAGTTTACTATTTACCTTATCTTATTAACAATATATTTAGGCAAATGAATTTAACCAGGAAGGTGGAGGATTTGTGCAAAGAAATAGAAAGCATTACTAAATTAGTAAAAGAAATTACAGAAGGCCTAAACAAACAGGAGGCTATTCCATGTTCATGGAAGGCTTAATATAGTAAAAATGTCAATAATACCCAAAACAATCTATCCGGTTACCACAAAGCCCCCACAAAACCCCCACAGTCTTCTTTTCAGCAAGGGGAAGGCAGTCCTCAAATTTATAAAAGGGTTTACATACTTTGATACAATCTCCTGCTTTGAGGGTGCTTAATGATTGGTGGCCTGGGAATACCATATATTTGCCATTTTCATGTTCTCTTTGCTTTTTCATACCATTTCTTAGTCTGGCAGGCCTAGTTCTGCCTTTGAGAATGAGCATTATTAAGAGTTTTGTCCTATCACCAACCCTCATTGTTTGTATAATCAGTGTCCAGTCAGTCACCTGAGTTTTGGACCTGTACAGGTCAACAACACATGTATTTGACCTAAACAAACTGTCCTAACACATGTAGATTTTCCTTCAGTAAATAGTATTTTAAATTTTATAACACTGGCTAAATTAATAATTCTATCAACAATTACCATATGTCCCACGGGGATGATTTCATAATGTTTCCCAATAAAATACTGATGTCTCTAAAGTAAACCAGGGACATATGTAAACCATAAATATAAGAACAGATTTTGACCTTGCACTTAATCGTAGCTCCTAATCTAAGGACAATCAATTCTTATGACGCGGTTCTATGAGATACTTGTCCTCGTGATCACTGAAGTACGGGTGCTATCGCAATGTGTGGTGAAGAAATTAGATGACGCCCAGATTCGAAAGACTAGCAGCTAGGGTCTTAGAAGGCTTGTCTTAAAACAAGCAGCCATCTAACTGAGGTGTCAGCTCAATCCACATGGAGAAAGCACACCAGCCTATGTGAGCCAAGAATTATAAATAATAAAACCCAAGACCAAAGGAGGGGACAGTATTAGAGCTTTAATTCTAGGCACTCAGTTTGCAGACGTCTATGGATCACAGTGAAAACCCAAAATCCATTGGCAGGGTCCCCATATGAATTAAGCCTCCAGTGAATCCCCTGACCATGGACCGTGGAAGTGAAGAGCTATCAAACAGAATGCAGTAGAAAGTGGACTAACACAGATGTAGTTACTTTAACATGCAACACCCTATCATTTGTTCTCCCTTTGAACCCATTTAAAATTTGTTCTAGTTTGTATTATTTTCAGCTGTCTTTTCTATTGAGGTTTTTCTGTTTATTTTGTTATTGTTGGCTTTTTTTTTCTTTTAGTTTTTGTATGTTTTTCTTTATGCGAAAACCAGGAGAGATAAATCTATAGAGATAGTAACTGGATTAGTAGCTTCTTAGGCTTATGAGAATGGAGGTGTAAGGGAAACAGGGAGCTAATAACGAGTACAAGAAAGAAAAAATGTTCTTCACTTGAGTGTGACGATGCTTGCATAGCTCTTTTTTTAATAAGTTTAAACTACTGAATTAGATGATATGTGAATTATATGTCAATAAAGCTTTAAAATGTTTACATCATTGTAATTAGGAGTGGGAGGAGGGAGGGACTTTTTGTTTGGAGGATGCTGAATTTATTTCAGTGGTGATGAAATATTTTGGACAAGAATAGCAAGAATGGTGGCAAAACATCAAAAATGTAATCATCGCTGAATTGTAAATGTAGAAGTTGGGTTGACAAATGCTTTGGTGTGTACGTTTTCAACACAATTTTAAAAATTCATGAAAACATTAAAGGAACATGCAGAGTTCAAAAGCAGGGAAGGGTTCCCAAAACAGCCACTGAGCAGTCACAACTAAACATAATGCTGAATCCAGAAATCCAGAGCAGCCTGTAGGAATGGATATTTGTGGTGAGTCCCACACCTGGAGGCAAAGGTTTGAGAGCAGTCAGGAACAGTGTTTTCAGTTGGAGGAAAATGGAATATGGGACGGTCTGGCGGCCAAATAGTCAGAGCATAAGGAATAGGTTTTGCGAGAGACAGACTCAAAGTTGACAGCATCCAAGCTGCGGGGCCAGAGAGCAAACGGAGTGAAGAAAGGGAAGCAGAGGAGTCAGCAGAAGGAGCACGAGGAGACTTGGGGGCAGCGGCCCCAGCTCACCTTGCAGGTGGCGTGATTGAGCATCTCCTGCCACGTGGGGTCCAGCCGATTTTTGTCAGCCATGACGCCTTGCTCGGCCACAAACACCATCTCCCGTGCAGCGTTGTGCATGCTCACGGCCCGCTCGTACCGTAGTGCAGCCTTCTGGGTCTCCTGCTGGGCCTGCGGGGAGAGAGCTGTCAAGACTAGAGGCCCCTCAAAGGACCTGGAGCCCAGGACCCTAGGACAAAAGGAGGATGAAAGCTGTACTAAAGATCAATGCCAAGGAAGCACCACCGCAAGGCCAGTGAAAAAGTGTACGTTACATCAGCCCCAATTAGAAGAGAAGCAAAACCAACTCTTTGACATATTCAAGAAAAATTCTTGAAACCACAGACCAAGAGAATTCTGAAAATCGCAAGAAAGAACCTCAATATAACCTGGGTCTTCCCTAAAAATCAGTGTGGCCAACTGATGGATGTATGGGTTGTGATGAGTTGTATGAGCCCCTAATGAAATGATTTTTTTTTAAATCAGTGTTGCTTTCTCCCCACAAACTATAAATTCCAAAAGATAATTTAGTAATAATTTATGTACAATACTGAACCAAAACAACTGCCAACCACACATCCTTTTCCCAGAAATTATCATTCAAAAGTGTGAAGAAAAACAAGATATTCCCAAACAGAAGCTCTGGAAATTTGCCACTACCAGACAAGCTCTGCAAGTATTACTCAAGGGGATAGTCTAAATGGATAGGCAAGAACGATGAAAAATAAGGACTGCAGGGAAAAAAACCACGTGAAGGTAAAAGGCAATACTGGAAGGAATACAGGAGTTACAGGAAACAGTGGTAAATACTTTGAGATGAGGCTGCTTAAAAA